TATGGCTGCGTAGCATATGTAGTATATTATTTTGGCCACTATGTTGGACAACTGGCACAATAAATAATTGAAATGTTTTTTTCCTCATGTTTCACTAGAAGTCCCTCATCCAATCCCAATGGAGTTTCTGGTTACTCAGGGAATACCAGGTCCTCATTAATGCCTGGTTCTGTTGAGCTACTTGCCTCCTTTATGCAAGATATCCAGAACATTGGAAATGCTGACTCAGAAATTGTGAAGAACTGCGAGGTATTTGATATTAAGGTTTATTTAAAAAAAATTTAATTATATTAATGTATTGGCTTCGCATTTTGGAAGACAGATCTAATGATTATATAGTTTATCAGTAAGATCTATATATGTTTATTCTTCATGATGGGACAAATCCTTTTACAATGTATGAACTAATCACGTGGATGGATTTTATTATAATTTTATCTTAGCTTTTTACAATATCTTGGCTTTTTATCTTTTTTATTTGTAGTGTTTTACAATACAGATGTGAATTTTTTTTCAAAGTTACAGTACTTAAAGATTGCAAGTTTCTGAACTGAAAAATTTAAACCTTTAAAATTGTAGCACTTCAGACTGGTCTGAAATGATCCTAGAAATTAGAAGTTTTCTTTCTAAAAATGGCTCTATTTTAGTTGAATTATTTATTTATTCCATTTGTAAAGATGTGTAGATGATTAGTTTGTTTCCAGATTTAAAACAACACAGAAATCATGATGTAGGTTCAATGAGCTAATTCTCTTAAACCCTTTTTTTTTAACGTTGGTTTTGTCCTTTTTTATTTTAAATTTATCATTATTTTTAGTCTCCATAAGGAACATCAGGTTTCCACACCATGGGTTTGTTCCTGCAGAATTTTTGAGCTTTCTGGCTGTGGTCCATCAAACTGTCTCTTGACAGATGCTTAATTTGGGTGCTCTTTAACAGCTCCAAGAAAAGAATATAGATGTCTGTGTCTAGGCACATGCGTTCTGTGTCCCGTGTCCTATGCTTCAAGTATCAGGCTCCATAAACATTAGCATAAAATAGTTTTTAAAATTCAGATTTTACCACACTTTAGGAATCCTATATATTTGATTTTTTTTAATTACCTTTTTGTTTTCACTAAATAGTTATGCATCATGACCTTTAGCTGGATTATCGAAGGGAAGAATTTCTTATTGAAGCGAATGGTTCACTGGACGTAGGGATGTTTAATTATCAATTTTAAAATTGCCTATAATTTATTGAACTGGGATCAGCCTTTCCAAAATTTGACTGTACTTTCCTGCCAGCTGTTTCTACTTTTAAGTAATTGATTTTTTAAAATGGAATAACTCTCTTCCCTTGTTCATTTGTTTGTTTGTTTTTTTTGAAACCAAACTTAAATTGTAGAGATGTGTTATCTTGCTGTCTAGAAGGACCTTTTTTTAAGTGAATGTGTCCATAGTGAATTGTTTCCATTGATTGACATGATAGGGGGCTGCATGTAGAGTGGGGTGGACAACCACAGTGCTTTTATTAAACTTGGTATTACATCAACACCTAAGTATAAGATTGAAAAACTATTTTGTAGCTAGAGTAAAAGGTAAGAGATGCAATATGACTGTACTTTAATTATTTTACTTTGTGATTTAATAGACAAGGTGGCTACAGTTATTGAGACTGGTAGAAAAACAATGTCAGGAACAAATAGTTGCCCAGCAAGAGCAGTTCCACCATCAAATTCAAGTAAGTAATGATTTGTTCATGTAGGTAGGTTAGACTGAATGTTTCTTTTCTCTCCCCCCCTCCCAATCCCACCCCGCTCCAAAACAATGCAATATGGTCTCTGGCACTCCTACGTTTTTCTGTAAGTATATTCAGACGGGCAGTTAATGGCAGTGGATGACTGGAATGCAGATTTACAGGATGCATATTTGAGACAGCCTTGGCTAATTAACAAAGTAACTGGTAGGAACCGTTTCAGAAGTGAAGATTCTTGGATTACTTGTTTTCAGTTGTTTTGTTTTCACAAACATTTGGTTCAGTATGCCCACACAATAACTGGATTTTGTAGGTACAAGCTCGTTTTTATTAACTGTTAGACTGTATCATTTCTCATTTAATTGTAGTTTTCTCTTCATTAGAAAATATTATGCAACTTGTCATTCCCTCATCTGACAGTATATAGCATAGGAAAACATTCACTGTAATAGCAAAACACTTATTTCAACCTTCAGTTGAACAGTCTCCTTTCTAAGAATGAAAAATGACCCATGTGAAGATTCACATTTTTGCTGAACCATATTTATCCATCAAAACAGAAAAATGTATATGTATGTGTAAGTCAGTAATTCTATAAATATATAATGCTTAATATCTTCATCATTTTGGTTGCTGTTTTTCCCTTCCCTTTCCTGATGCCCTCTACACTAGTAGTTATCAACAGTTCCTGAACTGAATTAACAAGAGGTACTGTCCTTTTATCCTATCTCCTGTTTCTCCCCCCTCAACTCCCCACCTTCCCCACCATCTTGTTATTTTTGTCCCGCCAGTGTTTCCTTACCCTTGTATTTCCTTCCTCTTACCGTAGTGGTTTGATTTACTGGTTGCTAATCATAGTCTTGACTAATCCATTGTGTTGGCTTTGCCAGTTTTTGTCTTTCTTAATAGGAAAGGCTACCTCTGGAAGAGCTGAGTTTGTGGTATCAGCAGGGACTTACTAACTGCATGAATTGCCACACTAAATACAAAATCAACAGCTATAACTTACTTTCAGTTGTATGAGTGCATTAGATAAAATAGATGGAGCTATTCCAAACTTAAACTGGTATGCCAGTGACCTCGTGAAAATACTGAAATACAGGCAAATGAACGCATTCTAATAAGAATAATAAAAAGACAGAAATAATAATCTACTATTTGGGGTAGAAAAGCAAGATGCTGCATTAGCATTGACATGACTCTGAGATAAAGCTTGCTCTATGCTGTGTTTCAAGACCAACTGTGTTTATAAAAAAATACATCTTCATCCATGTGAAAATATGGATCAAAAGACCTTGAGTTCATTTTGGAATCAGTGGGGTCAGTCCTTGGCTTAAGTGATTTATACACTAGAAGACAAGTGTGCTAATGACAAACTATCACCACCTCAGATCATCCTAAGATCAGACTTTATTGAAGAGGATTTAAGAAAAAAGTTACCTACGATCCCAAAACTGTAGAAATGTCATCTTATTTTTCCCAGGTCTTTTCTTCTCTTGGAATTATTTGTGACTACACAAAGAGAAGTAAAAATGCTATTTAATTGGAATAGTAGCCTTTCACTTTTCCCACACAAGATATTAATGACAAAAGATTAAACATCAGCAGAGAATCTGATCAGTTTGCCCCCCCCCAATTGTGTTTCTTCCTTTTGTTCTCCCTTCCCTACCTGCCTCAACAGAGTTGAATCACAGAATTAAAACGCAAATGATTGCTGCAGTCATGACTGAAGTCATTAGCACAACAAAAAAACTTCGTTATGGCAGAAAACTTCATCCCTTTTTTTTTGTTTTGTTTGGTTTTTTAATAGACTGAGCTGAAATTCAATTGTTAATTCTATTGCAAGTTAATAAAACATATGAGGCTTGGTTCTGACTAGCATTACATGTAGGTTCCTCTGAAATTAAGTCTTATATTTTATTTCTTACTTTCAGAGAACAAATTATTTGTGTTCAATTTGTGCTTTCCACTTGCTATTCATATGTGAGTAATGTACTGTAGTTCTGTGAAAAAACATTAGTAGAGTTCCATGTTCTTAAAATTATTGCAAATTATTGCAAGTTTTTTTTTTTTTTTCCCCTCATCCCTGAGGGAATTAGTTTGAAATACGTTCTTGAAAACAACTATATACTCTGGTCTTGTAATGTGTAATAAGAGTGTGTGTTCATGCAGAGCTCAGTAATCTCAATATAACTCTGCAGAAGTGCTGATCGCTGGCCAAAGGACATAGCCATGGGCACTAGCATGAAGTCTTTTCATAGCCCTTTTCAAAAGCATTAGTTGTTTCTCAGAGCTGTTTCAGTATACAACTGTAAAACTTTAAAAAAAACTACTTATCTAATATACTGAAATAACTCTTCACAGACATTGTAAACTAAAGAGTAAGTCACATGTTAAATCTAGTGATCTAGTTCTAGGTTTGCTCCACTCCATCAGATACCAAAACAATCAAAATGCAGATCTTTTTATTACATGAACTGCCTAGTAAATATTATCTAAATCAGATATTTTAAAGACAAGTTTTATGCAAATAATCTTACAGAGGTACATTATTCCTTTTAGCATAATGGAGTAATGGTTTATACTGCCATTAAAGCATCCTTGCAATCTTTAAAAACGTATATCCAAGTTACAAATTTTTTCAGACCTAAATTTAGCAAAAGACACTTGTCTGCTTCTAATGACATACCTAGATAGTCTATAAGCTGGCTGGTAAGTAACTATAGTTATGAAGGCATGTAGTGAATACATGCATGCATGGTTTTTTACATTAATAAAGGGCTACTGAGACCTGTAATTCACTGCATGGAATTAAGGATTGTTACCATGGCCATTTTACTGTTATGCACACTATGCATATATCTACTTAATGCATGAGATGTCTACACATTGAAAAAATTGAGTTATTTGAAGTAAGTATGCTAATTGTCTCACTAATAACATGAATTAAAGATGCATCAAAATATAAATGTAATTTGTGGCACAATCTCATAGGAATTTTGCCTTTTGTTTTCCTGTAGCTGATTCAGGATGAGATAAGGCAGTTAGTGAAATTGCAGAGCAGCAATTGGGGTGCCGGCAAGAGCAGAAGTTTGCCTGCCAAGCTTACAGACACTTTTTCATCACTAGAAAGTCAAATGGGGATGCGTTCTGAAGTCTTTGAAGAAAATGAGTGTATTGTCAATCAACTTAGATCTAATGAAGCAGAAAGTCAGCCAAATGCATCTGATCTGCATCAGGAATGTTTTGCAAATGATGCTTCAATGAATAGCGGGTATGGTACGCTTTCTGCCTCCGAACTGAACCCTAGCAAATCTAACGACGTTAACAAACGCACAGACTACATGGACAAAACTTTACAAGGACAGGGTGATGCAGCAGTATTGCAGAGTGACGCAGTTGTAGCCAGTGTTCAAAATAAAAGAGAACTTGTCCCCCAAAAAATAGAGGAAAATTTTTCGTCAGGAAGGAATGATATTTTAGTTTTTCCTGAGAAGCTCAATGTGGGAAAAAAACCAGGTAAGTGATAAATTTTCAAATATGTTAATTTATTGTAGACGGTCCCCATTCAGTAAACAACTGTTGGTAACTGGAAACATGCAAGAATTGAATGGAACCTCTTGATTGTAAAAAATACTATGCTGCTTGGTAGATAAAGTTATTTGTTTAGCCTGATGTTTCTGCGTGATGCATATTTGCATCTGCAGTGTTTTTCTGTTGTAGATAGGTTGGGGAAAAATATGAAAATCCACTTTCTTCTACAAATATGAGCTAAGATACAGTTTGCATATAGTGTTTATCTGTGCACCAGAATTTTAGGTGCTGATTACCAATTTTATATTGGTAATATATTGGACTGATATTTTGCTATTGTGCTCAACCAGTCTTTTTTGTGAGCTTGTATGCATGCATTACAGTAATAAATTGTATCAGACAACAGCCAAACATGTTTGGGTTTTTATGGGTTTTTTGGTTAATCTTTGTTTTGCTCTATTCAATAGGTGGGTGGATCTACCAAGATTTTTTTTGAAAGATTTGGCAATAATACTGACCAAGCACTACTCTAGTTGCACAGAACTTAACAATGTGCTTTAGTCTCCCTGTCAGACTAGGCTGTAATGGCAGTAGCTTCATGTGGTCACGAGCAGTATCAGAGGTCTTGTGGGCAGCATGTTGTCTGTGAGTCCCTGATAGTAGTTTGCAGAGATAAAAACTTTCTCTCTATTGGGAAAACAGAGAATCGTGAAAATGAACGTGCATTTTGCTAGTAGATAAAACACAGAACCAGCTTTCTTTAGAGAATTTGGTTTGGAAATGTCTTATTTCAGCATTTAAAGTAGATCTTAACCTAATTGATGTGTATGTTCTCTTCCTCCCTTCTGCTGGGGTTTATTCCAGTGTTTGATTCATGTTGCACAGTTCCATGAGGTACTGTAGTTGCAATTCATGGACTGCCAGGGAAATGTAGAGCTGGAGAAGCTCAATTCAAGAGTGTTTTTCAGTTTGAAAAACCTTTGTAAGACAACTTTTGAAATCATTCATGTATGGTTTTTTTGTCCTTTTTATAAAAAAATACAAGTGTTTTTCTTTGAAATTGCTTTCTGTTTTGTATTATGAACTCAGTTTGAAGGAAGAAAGGGTTCAAACCAAAGTGGAATAGTTCAGTTAACCCAAACTGTGTTTGTTGTTGTTTTTTAATTTTTAGTTGTAACCTTTTTTCATTCTTCCCACTGTATATCCCAAACTGGGACAATATGTAGTTTTTCAAAATGTCACTTTTTAACAAAATGGGAAAACTGTTCCACATCTACTTCTAAGAAGAATTTCAGGATGTCTCTTTTTGTTTTTGTTCTTCTACTTTTTTTTTTTTTTCCCCGTTTCTTTCTCTATCTTGTTTTGATCTTTCTTATCCTTGAAGATTCTCTTGAGTTGGAAGGCATCCTTAGTGTGTCTTAGCTGACATAATCTTTACAACCAGACTGATAACACAGTAAGAAAAAACACTGCATTTACATTCCAGCTTGATTTTGTGGTTTTGATCAGTATCTGCTTGTCCAGACGAAAAAATAGTTGCCTGGCTAAAAATATGGAGCTCTTTTTTACAATTTTTTTGTAGTAGGAAAGCCATTTTGATTATGGGTGCAGTTGATTAGCACCTTTCCTTTCAGTGATTTGTTTGTGGGTGTTTTTTGTTGTTGTTATTTTGTTTTACTTTTTAAAAAAAAGAGGCCTAAAACATTTCAGCGTTCATTCCTTCATATTGCATCTCAGAAATGCACAAAGGCAGTGGAGTTTTAGTGCCTGTGTTTCACCTTGAAGAAGAAATTGATTTCATGTCTCCACTGAAAAGGGCATATTTATTTACGGTATATGTGTGTGTTTCTTACCATCTAGTAAATCTTTAACATCATGGGCACAAAAGTTGAAACAAAACCAACCAAAAAGAATAAATGCTGAAGTAGTATGTGTGAACTCTATGCAAGAAAATGAGCAAGCAAATAAATTACCACTTGAGAATGTAAGTCTTTTTTTTATTTTATGATGTTTTTCTAATTTTGTTCTTGTCACTGGTATTTTTTCAGTGTTACAGTATGTTCTGATTCAGCAGGTACTTTCATACTTAGCTTTAAGCATTTGAGTAGTGGTGTTCCCATTCATATGTTTAAAGCTCATGTGAGCAGAGTTTATTTCTTGGATCATTCTATATTTACTCACATAGTTATTTTGGCTTATTTTATTCCTTGCCTAATTTTTGTCTTAACTTACCTAAGTGGCACATGTTCTTTCCTTTTAGAGATAATAGTCACATTCTCAATTGAAGCTTCAGGTCATGGTAATTTATTGTGCCCTGTAATTTGTAGAAGGAAACCTAGAGTCGAACCCTGTTATGGTGGCTGGCATGTGTAATTTCCATAACAAATTTTTGGAAGGATCTTTGATTTCACTGGTAATGTCGCTTTTAGTACACAGAACTCTTTGTGTCTGGAGGCATCAGCCACTTTTATCAGGGCAGATAGTATTCTTTCAGATTGGGATTTTAAGTTGCAGGGATCTTTTAGTTCAGTTTGGTTTGGGCTTTTTTAGTGTTCTTAGCAGTCTCTTCTGCTAAAATCCAAATGTGGGGTTTTTTATTTTTATTTTTTGTATTGTTTATGTAACAATAATACATTCTTTTATGCCCATGTATGAATATGATTTGGCTAAATTGAACTACTCCAACCAGTTACAGCACTGGTTACTAAAAGCAACCAACCCCCACAATAGACATTTAGAAAATCTGATTGGCTCTTTAGAACCATTTGTAATAATGCCTATTGCTGTGACTGCTGAATCGGCTCAACATACTTCTTTTGAGAAGGATTTGGTTCGTTCCCCCCATTATTCTTGAGTTAATAATTGTGTATGCCCACAAATCTGATTATTTTGGGAAGGGAAGTTTAATCACATATAATATTTCCGATCCAAAAGAACAATGCAACATGATTGTATGAGTAATCATCATACATGTAACTATGAAATTTTAGAATTACTTTCCATATATTAATTGTCACAAACCTCTTCCCTTATGCTATTTTTAAGGAAATAATTCCTGAAACTCTGTGAATGGCTCTACCTACAAGAGAATAGGAGACCTAGCAAATATGAATCACTTGATTCAAGGCAGGGTCTGTTTTCTTTCCTGTGGTCACTTTGAAGGTGATCCAGAAAGGGTAAGAGTAGCTGTTTGGGCTTGCTCTGTTTAGTCTTCTATTGTTAGTGGAAACAAGATGTTCCTCTAAGGGGATATTTCAAACCAGGAGTCAAATTTATTTGCTGTGGATTGTTTCTTTTCTCTCTCTGCTACAGGAGGGTGCCTAAGGAAATTAGTGCCAGAAATTCAGTTTTTGAAAATACTTCTATCTTTCTGTTCCTTTGTAAGAATTCAATTGATACTCCTTCATTTTCCTTTCTTCCTCCTTAGGCAAAGGAGAATACCTAAATAAAAACATTAAGAGGGACAAAATAGCCTTGAGGTGAGATAGTACTTCATGCAAAAACTTGAAAAGCTTTAGTTCTAAATTTTTTTTCTTACTTTTGTTAACTCAATGGTTACTATCCTGTTCTAGTCCTCAGTTGTATGAGCTGTACACATTTGCCAAGTAGCATGACTGTTAAGCTGCTGTAATGGAACAAAAAGTCCTCAGTACAGTAGAAAAGAGCAATGTGAGATGACAGTTGCTCTTGTATTGCTGTGTCATATCAATGACACTTCTTCCTTTGATTAAGGAAGAGGAGAGTTGTAGCGAATCTTAAATTATGTAAATTTTTTTCCATGTGTTGGTCCCACCCTTTTCAAAGTTACTTCTATAATTAGCTGGGGAGGTTGCTTAGAAAGTCTGGAGTGATGAGAAGAAGGGTATGTAGTGTCTTGTCTATCTGAGATGATAGACAGTGTTTACCTCCAAGTTTGTGGTAGGTGGAGTCATAACAGCTGAATATAAGAAATTCCAATCTTAGGATGAGGAAAGAGTAACACTTTATTGGTAAGTCATCCCTCTATATACTTGTACCTCTTAAGGAGCAAGAAAGTTCAGATGACTGTCCAAAATGTGTATTTTTGTAACAGTTAATCTCAAAAATGCTCCACAAGCAGACAGGCACATGACTTAGAAAATATGAGTATCTTTTAATTATGTGGCTTAGCTTAGTTCCCCTTTTGAGTGTGATTGCCCTGAATATAAATTGTATAGGTTTGGATCATGCTGTATAATTAAATTTAATCTCTTTGCTTAAAAAGACTAATAACATTTACATGCAATTTTTAAAAATTATACTCTTGATTTTTTTTTTCCCCCCTTGCCTTGCGATTTTCCTTACACATTTGTTTTTCCCTTGTAATTTTAGACAAACCTTACTGATGCTGCTTTGCCACGTTACACTTTTTACCTCAATCAACCGAATGAAAGTCCAAATTCCTTAGTGTCTGAAGCTTCAGGTATAGTTATTTTCTTGTACTTAAATGTCCTTTTCTTTTGAATTCTCACTTTTTAAAACTCTTACTAGAATTCATGTCCAATAACTTTGGGGAAGTGAGGAGGGTTTGAGTACTGACAAGCTATTAAACTTTGATATTGTGTAATTCTGCTTTTCTTGCTCTTGCTTTTCAAACTGATGGTACCTCCTGTGTATCATTGCTCGCAGATGTAGGACATGCAGCAATTTTTTTCTTCAAATTTGTCAACGTTTCAAAGCTGAGCTTTATGTTTAAAACTGTTTCATAATGTAATTACTATTAAAATTATGCTAGGGTATCAAATGATCTTTAAAATATTAGCATCATTGTTCTAGTAATCACAGGAGTGCATGGTAATAGAGGCAGAATTCCTGTAAGCCAAGGGCATGATTCGATAATTGTGTGAATAGACGGGGACGAAATAATGCAGTGTGTAATGCGGTGATTCTTTAATTGGGGGAGGGGGGGGGATGTGCTTTTTTGTGTTTTGGTATGGTTTTGCTTTTGTTGTTCTGGGGTTCATGTGTGAGGGGTGGTTGGTGGTGTTTTTTTGTGTTTTTGGGGGTTTGGTTGGTTTTTTTTGTGTGGGTGGTTTTTGGTGTTGGGGTGTTGTGGGTGGGTGGGTTTTTTGTGTGGTGGGTTTGTGTTTGGGGTTTTTTTTTTGTTGCCTTTGTTTTTTGTTTTTTGTTTTTTTTTTTTGTGAAAGCCAGACAACTAATTCACATATTTTGATTGTAACAGGGTGGATTCATTTCAGTAACAAACAGGGGCACAGAGATGAAGCCCTGCAAACTGTGTATATTTATTGCTTCTTCACAACCCATTGGGAGAGGGATATATATGAAATTGAAGTGGGATTGAGACTCTATCTGTTCCTCTTGTGCCATCCCTCTTAGTCCTGGTAGTCTATCTTTTTGCATGCTGTAGAGTGCTGTTGAGTACCAAACTGGAGAGCTTGTAGTATCAAATGGCTGTCTAGGATTATTCCTTGGGTAATACAAGTTTTAAGTGCTATCACCGGAATCAGTAGAAATATAAAAGTTTGTGGTAAATGAGGAGTTGTTCCTTGAACACCAAAGAGTAAATCTATATGTTTTCACTGGTTTATAGCTTTCATTACTGATGCTGTGTGATGTAATACTGGTCATGTTGCTTGTGCTTTGCATTGAGATTTTTGTAACTTCTGGTAAAAAATGCTTTAGTGAGATCCTTAAGCAATAGATGCAAATAATTAATACAGCATTCTTGTTAGCTGACAAAGTAATATTTTACTAATGGATTTTGGGATTCCTGTTCTATAGCCATGAGCTTGAAATTTGTAATTTTTTTTTGTTTTTTTCCTTTCAATGTTTCTTCTTATCAGGACTTTCATACTGGAAATTAGATGAAAAGGAGATGTATCACTCTTTACCAGAGAATTTCAGAAGTGAGTTTGCTGATATTTTCTCCACGAAAGTATCACCAGATGAGGTAAACTTTGTATGTGTTTTAGAAGTTGTCCTATAGTTGCTTGTTGTCTTTGCTTTTTTCTACGACAGCCCTCCAGGAGCTAACTTTTCTGTGAGAACTCTTTTGTTAGTTCAGTCTCTCATATTCTGTTTCTTCATTATTCATTTACCCCCACTAATGTCACTTGGAATTTATTGACCTTCTTTTGTCATTTAAAAGAAATTTTATGTATAGGAGATGAAAAGAGACTAACTGGTATATTAAAGGCGTATGTGCCTCATTAAAGACCCTTTTTTAAACCGGGTGCATGGAATAAAGCCTTGTTCTGTTCTGAACTGCTTTATTAGCTAAACCCACCCCAGAACTTGCCTTTATTAGCTAAACCCACCCCAGAACTTGCTTATCTGTATTGGGGATGGAGGATTGTGTTCAGAAAAAGTAATGTAGCAATTTTGCCTGTTGAAGTTGTCTTCTGCTGATGAAATGAAGTTGTCGTCATTGAAGGATATTTATCAGAAAAGACAAAGGGAAAACGAGCAGCTGCCAGACCAGAATTTTATGCCTTCTTCCCAGTCAAGTCACCCACCAGAGGTAACATTAATTTCTTTACTTCATGTCTCAGTTTGAAGATCCGATCGGTTACAAGCTGGTTTCACATTAATTGGCCCCTGCTGCCACCTCCAGTGTTATGCTGGAACAGCAATTTGTGCAGCTGTGTGATGAACCAGATTGGGAAGGGATCCAGCTGAAAAGAACCTCTAAGAATACTCTGGGTAAACAAGCACCTTTGCCGCACAACCTTGAGGATAGCGCACGTCTCAGTTTGAAGATCCGATGGGTTACAGGCTGGTTTCACATTAATTGGCCCCTGCTGCCACCTCCAGTGTTATGCTGGAACAGCAATTTGTGCAGCTGTGTGATGAACCAGATTGGGAAGGGATCCAGCTGAAAAGAACCTCTAAGAATACTCTGGGTAAACAAGCACCTTTGCCGCACAACCTTGAGGATAGCGCAGGGACGAATCTGCTTATGCTGAGGCTGCAGCTGATGAAATGCACGTGGAACTGCAGTCACAGAAACAGGCTTTTCTTACTACTTCCCACAAGACAAGTTCAGTCCACCTGTGAAACAGAAGAACAGGTTGTGGAAATATTCTTTGTCATATCTGTTTCTTTATACAGCTTTCAGTCTTGTACAAAATCCAGTAATGATAGCTACTGTGTGACCATCTTGTTCGTATAATCCATGAAGTGATTTTCGTAACTGTACAAGGTTATTGTTTCAACCTACAAACAGACATCATAGTCCTGCTATTTAAATAACTGAAATTTCAAAGGTTTTCTAGACAGCTACAGATGTTAGATATGTCTTTTATTCTTAATGGAAACTTAGAAACTTAAGTTGCAAACGTGGGGAATATGTATCATCATCATCTAAGCTGTTACAGATCCCTTCATCTTGCTTGTCACTACCAAATGATTGTAGTAATATTCAGTATAATTCTTGCAATATATTATATGGATTACTAATGTCTTCAGATAAACTCCATCTACAAGAACAAAAGTTAAATCACGATTTTTTTAGCATTATAACTTATTTCCTAGATCTTGACATTGGACCCAACCCTGCATATGAAACCAGGTCAGCAGAACCCAGGACGCTGTTTTTTCAATATTCCTGAAGAGACTACTCCTTTTTCTCCAGACTCTATGGCAGAGCCCGGATTTTCCAGTCATTGTGACACAGACTCTTTTTCACAGACAAGTAGTTCATCTCAGTTAGATGATTCTCTGAAATATCCTGCCAGCAGCAGAGCTGTGCATTTGGACCTCTGGAGAGATCACCCATTCCAGAATGAAAACAAGTCTGGCTGTCCCTTTCCAATGGCATATATGGATGCTAATAATGATAATTTAGTCAACACTGAGGAGGAAGAAACACTGACTCTAACTCCATCTTCTATTACTCAGTGTGCTGACAACAGTTTGCCAGAATATAGTCTTTCAGTGACATCTGTTGAAGATCCTGTGATAATGTCAAAGTAAGTAATTTTTTTTCTTTTTTAAAAGTCATAGAGTTGGTACTTTCATGAAAGAAGTGAAACTTAACAATACTAGTAAAACGAACAAAGTATGTGAGTTCTGTTTGCTTAGAACATAGCTGGACATTGCTGCTTTTTTTTTTCTTTCTTCTTTTTTTTCCTCTCCCCTGAAGTACACATGGCGTATAAATGGAACAGTCATTTTCCACTTCTTACAATTGTCTTTCTTTAGACCGTACTATTTAATCTTCTTTAGACCATACTGTTTAATCTAAGGCACAATATTTGTGCTCAGTCTTCCTTGGATGTCAAAGCCCTAACAGGAAGGCAAAACAATTTTCTATGTTTTAATGCTTTGGTTATTTCTTTTTATACACTAAAATAAAAATACATACTTCCTTCATAGGCTGTATGAGGGAGTTAATTTAGGCAGAGAATTTCAAAGTTCTCTGGGGGTTATGTTTTCCTATTTAGAGTCAAATGGTGGGAGAAGCACAGAATTACTGTACTTAGGAAAAATAAATAATCCCCTATTCGCTATTGAAGTTCTCATGATTTGCACATGGACAAGCAGACACGGCATATATTCCATGTGTGAGGGCTTATGTAGGGGTCATGGTTTCAAGATAGCTCAGTGTTTGGGTTTTCCTATTTTAATTTTACATGCATAGTTTCTAGTGCATAGCAAAGGAGAGAAGAGACCATAAAGCTTTGGATTGTATTTGTATATATTATTAATATTTGTATTAATATGAAGACTTCTACGCGAGCCTTATGTGTCTGACACCACTACCTTAGACGACGAAGCTTTCTTTGCTTTAATTTGAATGCAACAAAGTTCTGTAAGAGAGATATATATGCTGAGTTCATTATGTGTGAATGAATACAGCAATACATGGTCATGTGGATAGCTGGAAATTTTTTCGTTCTTAATTTTGAAAATAGGATTAGGCAGAACTTGAGGGAAAAACATGCTCGACACATAGCTGATCTACGAGCTTACTATGACTCTGAGATACACAACTTAAAGCAGCAGCTAGAGGCAAGCCATAAAACTGCTTCATCTGAAGACTTGAAGAAAATCAATCAAAATCTTGCTGACAGGTACTGTTGTCCTTACTTGTCTTCTTCCTCTATTACATGGTATTCTTTCCACTTTAAAAACTGAGTATGCTTTTTTAGAATATCTTGAAAAGTTTATGTCACTCTGCAATTTTGAAGATTTCATGCATCTATGATGCTAATACTTTCCTATTAAATATAAGTTTTGCATTATTTAATGCAGCTGTTTAAGGTTAGTTTAAAATTACTGTTAGGCAGCAAGTGTGATGTTTGGACCAGAGGTCTTGTTTGACTTGATTTTTGCTGAAGCCAGTGTAAGTTTTGCTCAAGGCAGAGGTAGTCCGAAGCAATTTGTAATGGAAATATCTATGTTGTAAGATAGTGCTTGCCTGTCATGCTGGTGAACATCATCCTCCTTTACCTTTCATGTCAAAACTACAGATGATATAGGACCAATCTTGAATTCATTGGTAGCTTTATAAAGCGAATTTGCCTGTCAGTGCTCTTTGACTAGATATTACTACTGGAGTCTGTGTGCCTCACCAATATATTCCATTAGATGTAGCTTGAATGTTTGCTATTTATAGAAGTTTGATGTGATTTTTATATAATTACTGCCAGTCAAAATACATACTGCAAATTTAGACAGCTAAAATACTTTATGAAATTTACACCCTTCAGAATAATTGAAAAAGTGTCTGGGTAGCTGGGACTCTTTTGTACTTATCTTCCAGCACTAGTGTGTTCTAACTATAAAAGTGACTTCTGAGCAGTCATCTATTGAGTTAAAGTAGCTTGCGATACGATTTCAGTCATTAATTACCACACAGCATCATCAATTAGCTGAAGTGGACCTCTGCTCTGGTGCATCTGAGCTGCTTTTGGTTCTGCAGCTCTTATGCTCTGAGCCATCTGGAGTCTCTGTGCATGTTCCCAGTTTGCTGCTCGCCTGCCATGAGCACCACTGCCCTTCTGAGCAGAGACGCTGAGTGCTCGCTGCGGTGGCCGAAGGCTATGGGAGGAGGTCACAGGCTGGGCACCAAAATTCGTGGGAATGCTTGAGGAAGGAGAGAAGGCTATAAAATGTAGATTTATTATTTTAAAATTTCAAGAGATTTTTGTAATCTGTATCTTTTGAATAGGTGTGACCAATTAGATACGGCTCTGAATGAAGCAAGTGCTCGCATAAAAGCCCTTGAAAATAAGAATAATATGCTAGAAAAGCAAGTGGTAAGTATATGTTCTTAGTTCAAGTTGCTTTTTGACTAGAAAGGTAAGAGAATGCACATGTTCGTTATTAAGATGATCTGTGTTTCCATACCTTTCTCTCTTTTTATTTTCAACTTTTCTCCTTAATATATGACATCAGCCAATATGTTACACCAGTGACTTTTCTAGCTGAGTTTCTTAAGACTCCCTACTTGAATCATCACTTTTGCTTATGAACAACATTTCCAGGTGATCAGGGATCAGGCAAAGTTTGAGAGTGAAATATTGTGATGTGTTTATGATAATCTCTCTTTAGATTTGTTGGTTTGTTTTTTTTTAAATCGATTTAATTACTTCCTCTTTTGATTTCTTATTAGAGCTGTCATAAAAGCAAATCTCATCTACAATGGGGCAAAAAGACTATCTTTCAAAGTATATTTATACAGTCTTTCTGGCTAGGTCAGCCCAGTTAACTTATGACTGCATAGCTGTATTTATTGATCAAAGAGCAGGACATTTTTTCATGGAAGTTAGACACCTGAAGAGACTAATTAATTCCACCTCTTTTAGACTTTTTTCTATGCTGGGAAGCAAGACAATCAGCTGGGATTAGAGGCCTAATCTCTAGATATTTTAAGTCCTATAACATAAATACATCTTTGGGGTTTTTAGTCTTCATTTTCATTCTTTATACATCACAGAAATGAGCAAAAATCTTGTTTAGTTAATGTACAGATGTATCCTTGTTTTCTATTTAGATGATCTTAGATTATGCTTTGTACTGAAATGAAAATCTGCTAGGTAAGCATTATAATGAATGTTTTTTCTCTTACAGACAGATTGGAGAGAACGCTTTTATGCAGTCAGTAATACTTCCAAAGTTTTGCAAGAACGTATTGAAGAAATGCGCACAAATAATAAAGAGAAGGATAACACTATCAGTCGACTAAAATCAAGGCTTAAAGATCTAGAGGAAGCATTTGAAAAGGCTTACAAGTTATCTGATAATAAAAATACAAGGCTAAAGGAAGAAAATAAAATGTTTCAAAATGTAAGTAAGAAAATGGGCAAAGGTGTTTGCAGTTGCACAGCATGTTACGAGCACAGCAGGTCCTGGGTGTTTTGGAAAACTACTCAAAGTCTACCATTGTAAAGTCATCCAAGAGAACAGAAGTTATTCAGCTGACTACTTAGTAGGCTAGGTGTTAGGTGATACTACAGACCTAATAGATATTTAAAAACAATTATTGAAGGCAGCAAGTGTGTACTTGATGTGATAACACTTGTCATAGTCTGTCTCAGGTATTTTATTACTCTATGTGCTATTAGTTCATTTTATTTTTAGAGGTATCACAGGAAATTATTTTGGAACAAGTTATTTTTTCCTTTCTTAAGCTTAGTGGGAATGGACTGAATTTCTTTCATAAGTCATCACAACTTGCTGAAACTTATTGTTAATTTTATGTATGATTTTAGACTGACTTAAAGGAATTATTCCTTTGTTTCTTCAGTAATAGCTTTATGGAATGTTTAAATAGATTGGCAAAATGGGTATTAGCTGGAAAAGTTACTTCATGCTTTAACTCCTTTTTTAGAATTAAAATTTCAAAATCCAAAGTCAGCTTTAAAGTCAGTGAGGAATTTTACTGGTTCATTCAGCCTCATCAGTTTCTTTAGAGTATAATAATTTGAAAAGCAGAAATATGTTGTGTAAGTAGCTCTGTCTCCTCTTGTCCTGTCTAACTTCTTGTTCCAATTAGAAGATGCTAGAACTTAACAAATACTATTAAAGTACTCTCTGTATGCCCTGTAGTGCTTCTGCACGTTAGACAAGCAATTCAGATGATTTTACAGCAGTCAGCAAAACTGTTAATTCTATATAGTCTCAGTGTGGGTTTGTGTGTTCTTTTTTGTTTTGTTTTAGCTTTTAGGAGAATATGAATCCCTTGGAAAAGAACATGAAAGAGTAAAGGTAAGTACATGCTACTTAATTAAAAAAAAAAACAAACATGCAAAATATGTGGTAATGTGCCATAGAATTAACTGAGTTAAGTATTTTGAAAAAGATCATACGGAAAGATGCATATTTATTTTAACTGATAGCTTCTTACTATATCTTCAGAGCCCAGGAAAGGGAAAATAAGGGAGTTTGGAATTTATCGTTTTCCAGTCATAGACAGCAAAAATACTGCAAAATCAGCCAAAGAAATTGAATGGACCTCCCTTTTAATTAGGAAAGCATATTTAACACATTGTTTTCAACACTGATGTACAGTTACTCATTTTTCTTTTAATACACTTCTGTACTTTCTAGGCTTTTTACTTTTTTTCCTTGTGTGCTTGTAGGATACGTTAAATGCAACTGAAAACAAATTGCTTGATGCAAACATGCAGATTTCTGATCTGAAAAGGTAAATGCGAAACTGTCTTACTACTATTTTAACAATATGAAATACAGGCAATGGCCTAAACATTTACTCCTAGATTATGAAGGCTGTAGATCTTGCAATTTTAATTACATCTTATGAAGCATTTCCTGTTGCTTTATGTTACTTTGTACACATTGTAAAAATCTTGTTATTTTAGGATACGTGTTTTTTCTACTTCCTCGATCACAACATCTTCCAGTGGGATGTAATTAATTGCTTCCTTTCTGATGGTTGTCACTCAGCTAGCCCAGGCAATCTGCTGCTCAGGCTTTCACTGCTACAGTTGTCTCCTCGGGAATCCCCAACTTCAGCTAACCAGTCTCTGTTCTGGTCTTCGGGAGCAAGGATGCTGACGGGAGTTTGCTGTTCAAGATTATGGCTCCTAGGCATGAATAAAGGACAGAAAGGAGTTCTGTGTATAGAGCAGGAAAAATATCTCCTGTGGATGTCCCTCATGCTATCTGGATCTATTTTTTGGCTGGGAGAACAGAAATCCATTGAGCTTTATACTTTCCGGGTAGGCCCTAGGCAAGACGTATGTGACCATCCAGGGGTTTACAGTTTAAACATAGCCTCTAGCTTGGGATTTCTCAGCTATTCCTTGTCAAGGGTGTTAAACAGCACACTTGCTCAGGAAAGTCTAGAGAGGTGGGAAGAGAGGACATCTGAGAGGGCTCTAGGGCAGGCATTGTAGAACTGTAATGAGGTGATGTTTCACGTCATTCAACTCCCTTTGAGGTTCTTTTGTGGGTATGTCCTGTCATAATTTCCTTTTATGTTTTTATATGAGCAGCTGAAACTGCTCATATACTGTTAGGAAGATATTTTTTTATGGGTGGTTTTTGATGATTCTTCTAGAAATGTGGCTACAAGTTTCACTTCAAAATTCATTCCAAATGTCATTGCCACCAAGCATTAACCTTGTGCATAGTCTTCAGCCAAAATCAGAAAAATAGCAAATGTGATATCTGGGAGATGTCACAGTCCTTTTCTTTGCTGTTCAGATCACCTGATGTTTTCAAGAAGAAGAATAGAAAGAATGAATAGGAAGAATTTAAGAAAGGAATAGAAGGAAGCCAAAACTCTGCCTTCAATTTTAATTGGGACTGTTGAGGAAATGAAGAGTATGAAGGACAGTTCAGTCAAGTATTGGTGCTTCTATTTTCCTGCCTGATTCTTGATGCTGCTAACTAGGGACCATTCCAGACTGGGGAAATTGTAGTGGAAAAAGGAGATTTTTATATCCTGCTCCAAACCCCTCTATTTCTATCCTCCAAGTGGGGAATGTCTAAGATTGTGTTGCATTGCCAAGGGCTGGTTTACTGAAGATGTAGACTGCAGTACGTGGGGGAGAGTAAAATCATGTGAAGAGTTGAGCAGCAGATTGGTGGAGTTACCTGAGTGACACACAGGAGAAGGAGCCGCTCATTAAAACCAGAGTCAGGGAGGCCTTTGTATAAATACATTGTTTCAAGGAGGAAAAATGTTCTTGTTTTTTTTTCCCCAACCCCTCTGAGTTGAACGCTTTGATCCACAGCAATATCTCCTGGTCCTGTCTTTCTAGCTAGATTACCTAACTTATTTAACTTAGAATTCAAAAACACATTTATATATGTATTTAGATAGATAGATAAAAATGTAGTAGTTGCTCTTGTTCTTCAGCTTCACCCAGGATATCTGAATGAGTAAACTAAGAAATATGATACCTCCTTTATGTCTTTTAAATCATCTTATACTGTATCTTTGCTACGTCCACATTAGGACAATTTCAAAACTTGAAGCTCAGCTCAAGCAGGTAGAACATGAAAATATGTTGAAACTTCGCCATGTTACGGAAAGTCGTTTAAGAACCTCTTGCGCCAGGTAAGTGAATATTCCAACAATGTGAAAACAGGTCATGTGTTTTAGAATACTTTTTAATGTGTTTTGGCTAAAAACGGATAAAGAAGATGTCAGTCCATAGGCTAAACTGGATTAAACACGTGACGTAATCCAGAGACTTCACATGCCAAGAAATTATTAAAAACAAATAAATACTTTGGATAATATATGTGTGGCTTGTCTCTAGTCTTCCTAAATGAGTGTTTGTTAGGTTTCAGTTGCTCAGCTGAATAGGGATTCCCATGCTTAACAAAGATCTTGGGAATAAAATTTAATAGTCCCATTAGACTTTAGAGGTTTTCTTTGTGTCTTTATATCATTGATTTGAAAGGCTGATTACTACATTTTACGTTTCTAAATATAGTTTGTACAGGTATCCTGAGAGTAGAGTGGAAGTTCAGTTAGAATGCATACTCTAGTTTGAATTGTGAATTTATGTTAAGGAAATTAAAGTTGGCCTGTATTCTGTTTTGCCCCTTTTATGTTTTAAAGACCTGAAAAGCTTTGTCATCCTCTCCCCTTTTTTTTTATTTCTTAGTTATGGCTTCGTGGGTGTCTCTCCCAGTTGAGCACTGATGTTGTGAAGCACAAAATGATAATGTAACGTGTTTTGTGGATGTCCATTTGTATATATTGAACAGTAGTATTTTGGGGGATCTGATTTTTGATGATTATGAAGATGCAAGTAATTTATGTATTAATATATTACAGGGACAGATTTTTGTTTAGAGCTATTTTAATATTTATGAACAAGATCCCTCAACAATGAACGGAAAAAAGGAAGACTTCAACATGGCAGACCATGTTCATCAGGGAGGAGGATGGAAGAGCCAATATGGATTTGGAAGTTAATCTGTCCCTAACTGATCTCAAAGGCTCAAAGAAAGCCTCATTCCAACTGAATGCACATTAGGACAGATTTATAGAATAGCTTGAGTAAACAAGAACCTTTTTTTCCTAATTATCATCTACTTTCCTGTGTATAAAAATCACATTTTTCTTTTGATATTTCAAAATAATAATACACTCATTGGTGCTTATTAGTTAATATTTATCACTCTCAGGTCATCAACAGTGACTTTTTCTTGTTTGGGTTTTTTATTTTTTATGTTTCTTAGTGACTAATAAATGGTGTCAAAAGGAAAGCTGGGGTCAGATGCTCTGAACTATTGAAGTAATCTACACCAAAATGTTTTTGTTTAAGTAGTTGAGAACTACTTGTTACCCAAACCTCAGTCTGAGTAAGCAGCAATAAATTAGAAGAAGATTTTTGTGAAGTTCTGCATTCTGAGCATATTGTGTAATTTAGACTGAAACCTCAATATATGATTTTTTTAAAATTTATTTTTACTTCACAAACATGTTTAAAAAAGCAATTCTTTTTCCACGGTATTTACAGGTTTAATTGTATATTTGTTATTGTTTCTGTTTAGCTAGAATAAATAACTGGATTTTCTTAATCTTTTTTTTCTTAAATTAAAAAAAAAAATAAATTCAAAGTGTTTCATAATTTAGAAGTTTTTTTTTGTTCCCACAGCAAGTTGGCAACTCCTGATGTCAGCAGGCGAAAGTGGTTGATACCAGGAGCAGAGTATTCAATCTTCACTGGTCAGCCTTTGGAAGTCCAGGAAAGCCCAAAAGATAACCGATTAGAAGAAACCTATATTCCTTCTAGGTGAGTCGGTTTCCTTCAGTCTCCACTGTGATGTAAAGTTGAACACTTCTAAAAATAGTTTTATCCAGAATTGACTAGATTCATATTTCTAGATTTTGTACTTGTTAAATACAGTTCTAAAAAAATTTCTTGATGTTGTAGATGCTATACAATTCCTTAAAAACAAAACAGCCTTCTTCCTTCACTAACCTGGTATGAGCAAGCAGCAGCAGCCTTCAGTACCTTCCTTGAAATATCAGAAATCTTCAACTGCATCTTGTGCCACTGTCTTTACGCTCTCTGTGTTTGTGTCCAATTCTACTCTGAGTTTGGACACAGTGTGCTCTGTTGCACTGGATGTGAGCTGTAGCAGTTGGCTGCAGCTTTCCACCAGTATGAAGCTTCAGGTGTTATTTAGGGTGTAATTTAGTAGTTTGCTGCCTTACTCGGGAGTTCCTAAAGCCTCTGTCAGGACCTATTTAGTTCTAAGAACACGTCAAGTCACCAAATCTAACTCGCGCTGTTCAACTTCAGATTCTTGAATTGGCTGCAACACAATCCTCTGAGGTTCTTGGCTGAAATTAAAAAGCACCCTTAAAATTCTTGGTTTGACGATGGTAAATCTCAAACTAAATTTCTCCAGGTTTTTGTTTATTCAGCTAGTATTTGGATATATGAAATAAAGTGAAAAAACTTGATGCTTTTTTTCCCTCCACCGCCTCACATTCTTTAAGGCACCATTCTCCTCCTGAAAAAGACTCCTCACAAGAAGACTCTTCAACAAACACAATAGAAAAGAAAGAAAATGACATGTCAGAAGCACCAATTATAAAAGCCTTTAAAGAACTTGAAGAAGGAAAAGCATTTAAAGATTGGGGTACACAAACAGAAAAAGAAGATGCATCAACGAGTAAATTTTATTTTTGTATTCCTGAACTTGTCTTTACTGGCTTTTCTTTGTTTGCATGTCTTTTGGTTTTGTTATTCTCAGCATTAACCCATTACTCAAGCCTGATGGACTTTAAAGACAATTTTAGCACGCAAACTTTTAGAGTTTTCGTAAGAAAATTCAAAATTATATATAGCTAAGTGACTTGTTTAAAATAGAGGGAATGCAAAGGTTGCTGTTCGGTCTCAAGCTAGAGAGTAGTTAATGTCCTTTTTTCTAAGAATATCTCAGTATTTATAAACAGTTAATGGAGTCCTAACAAATCTCTGGCTGGCTGTACATGCATTTTAGTTTTGTTCTCATGGTGTTGTACCAGAATGTTATTAAGAAGGCTGGCATGTGTACTGTAGGACTGCGCTGAGCTGTTCTAACAACACTGATTGAGGAAACCTTGTAATTAGAAAACATTGAGACTTTCTTAAATGCTTATATTCTTGGTTCAGGCAGGTACTCCAACCCTCTTTCCCAAAAGATGCTTTCGTCCTGCTTTCCACTGTCTCTTTATTAAATCAGTGTTATTTAGCATCACTTCTCCCACACGCACTGCAAGGATCCTTTTTAATGAGTTAAACTATCTGTTTCATGAATATGATGAGCAGGAAGTGAGACTTGAGCAAAACAGCACAAATATGTTGACGTGAGGCAGACTAAGTGCAGTCTTTGTGCAGTAAAAGCTGAGTACAGGGGGAATATTTGTGAGTTCTTGTATTGAAAAGGATTGATTCATATAACAACTTTTTCCTTTTAATTAGAAACATCAAATCGACGTCAAACTGTTGGGTTTGTTGAAACTTCTGTAGTTGCTAACCGATCCCCAGAGAAAGGTAAAGACCAACACAGACCAAAACGGTACAGCTCCCCTTCTGGCCTGAGGTCATCGTCCCTTCCTCCTTCAAACAGGAAATCAAATACTCCAAGTAAGTGGATTTCTGAAGTTTGGTTTGTGTTACTCAAAAAGTAGAAACAAATAATGAAAGGCTGCTCGAGAAGAAATAAAATAAAGATAGTATTTCTGCATTATTCTAACAGATAGTCTGGGGAAAAAAGATTGTCTATAATCATAGAAAGTGTGAGAGTTCTAAGTTTATTTTCATTTTTCTATGTTGCGATGCACTTTTCATCCAATTTAAATAAACATATAGACAGCTTTGAAAAGCAGTCTTTTAAGATGTAAGCATCTGATCACATGAGTGGGAGATACTGCATTGGGAGAAGTTTTAGGGAGTTAGACATACTTTGTCTTTTGCAGCAAGAAGAGATATAATGTTGGCACCAGTGTCTGTGACATACAGTCCAAAACGATCTCCAAAAGAAAACCTCTCTCCTGGATTTAGCCATTTGCTTAGCAAAAATGAAAACACAGTGACAAGGTACATCTTGTGAATACAATTGTGTTCTGAACACTATTATAGCAGCAGTATGTTTATGCAGGCTTAATGCTGCTGTTTCTTGTTCATTAGAAGTCCTAGAAAATGAGTCATGTGAAGATTTCTGAATACAAAGCTAAGTTTTATTTTTTAAAATCTGGCAAGAAATATCTAGAATGATTTCCCATCTTTAGCATTCACCAAGATAAGATGTTGGGTTTACCATTGACACAACATTGATTAGTGACAAAGAAGTTATAGAAGAATTGTTCTGTGGAGTAAGTCCGGATCTATGTGCTGCATATCAGGAGAAGTAAATAAAAGCTGAAAGTAGTATCTACCCACCTGTCATGGCACCTACAAGCATGTTAAAAATATATAAACTTAACTTTCTGCTAACTGTACTAGATACTATGGTTTCTATAGAGATCTTTGCTTGGCAAGGCTATGTAGAGTTTGAGAACATACTTAGGTGCGAGATTAAAGTGTAGGACGTGCATGAGGAAGAAGAAATGTCTAGCACCAGTTTGATGGTTCTTGAGAATGACAACATGGGAGCTCAGCGTGTTCGTGAGTGATAGCTTGGCCTGCTTCTGAAAGAAGGTCACGTGAATGAGGTATTTTGGTGTGTGTAAAGAGGAGTATGTTAGGGTATGGTACTATGAGCAGTAATCAGAAGACTTGCAATGCCTGTGGGATAGAAACTGTTTTATAAAAAAATTGTTTATTTAACCAAAAGGTGAAAAAGTAGGAAATATTGTATTGCTTAATACATGATTTCTAGCAAGTAACTGTGTGCTTCCTGCTCTATAGATTTGATATACTTCTAGATGACCTAGAAACTGGTCCTACATCTACTTTACAGCACAATAATCCAAGAAAAAGGCTCCAGTTTCTCTCACTAGATGATGTAGAAGGTAATCTGTCAAAATGGGGGAAAACTGTTCTTTATTTTTTTTACCATAATTTCTTCCACATTGGTAACAGCTGCTTAAATAGAAAGCTGACACTTTACTCTATGAAGTCCAACTTTTAAAAATCCTCTAAATCTTGTCTTAATACTGTAGACAGGGAAATACCATTCATACAGTATTTTATTTTTATGTATATGTGTGTGTGCACAAACACAATGGAACAACAAAAATAATTAAATTGAGAAAGAAGGGCAATATGTTTTCCTATGCTTAACTCAGTTATACAATGCATATCTTAGCAGGATCTATATTAAGATGTACGTACTCAGTCATACTAATAAAATTCTATTACTGAACATTGCATTACAGATAGCAAAGAGTAACTATAATAAAGCCAGCTGTTTCAGATTTTTTAAATGATTGATTGAATCAAATCTTTTCTCACTTTTGTAATTCTTGTCACAATGTTCTGCTTTTGTTTTTATTAATGCATTTATTTAGACTAGTGTTTTCATGACAACTAGTCTACTTGGTGACATTTAGAAATGTTGTACCAGTAAAAGTAATTCCGAATTAGCACAGTACAGTAATCTGTTTGTTATCCAAAAAATATGCTGTGTTATAAAGATTGTTTGAAAGATGACCCATACAGATGTTTTGCATTCTTCTGGGAAGTTTGCTTAAGCCAAGCTAATGAGGCTTTGCTAGTCACTATCCTCAGTTTATATACCTCCAAGATCACACTGCTTTTCTTGTTATTAGTTTGTTTTTCTGTCCTATGTAATAAAAATTGCACAGACAATTACAGAGCAAATAAAAAGACCCCTATTTTGTTGATAGGAAGGCAGCATTCAGGTGTCAGACACAGCTCTTGTGCTGAATCTATCAATACTGGAATGAAGAAGGCGACAGCTTGGGACGAGAGGAGCGTAGCACAAAAATATGAGCCAGTGCTATCACCTTGTGAGGGAGACTTCAAGTACGCAGCAAGGATTAAGACTCTGGCTGAAACAGAGAGGCTTTTTGATGAGCTGACTCAAGAAAAGCAACAGGCAAAATATTTTTATTTTAAAGTTGTGATGAAATATAATTGTTGTATGAGAGGTGAGGGATGTAGCTGTATACCTATGCAATGCATGGCTGAAATTCATGCACAATTTCTAGTGTTACCCTATGAATGTGCCATTATCATTCCCTGCTCTACTTCCCATACTCCAGTCCTTTTCTGTCCCTAACTTAACATAAACACGGTGTGAATGGAACGGTTGGAGTGAATTTACTTTCTTCCTTAATGGACAAGGCTTTAAATCAGCCTTTCAAACAAGGAAGGTTATTCTGGCAAGTGAGAGTGCTCTATTCAAAATGAATCTTGAGAAGGTCTGCTTATGAATGTTAACTTTTGTATCAGTTTTGTATGGCAGAGTATTATGGAAGCATAAGTTAGTGTTTAAGAACAAGACTGGACGTGTATCTGTAATCTATACACCTCACCTCTCTTTTTGTAAGATGAGTTAGGAAGGCTTATATTGGCTCTTGAAACTATAATTTACAGCTGAAGTATTTTCTGTTACTAGATTGAGGCTGCATTGAGTCGAATACCTTGTTCTGGTGGAAGAATGACCTTGCAAGCAAGATTAAATCAGGTGAAGAAGCTTCTACATATGACTGTTCTCTTAAGTTGCTCTTCCACAATTTGAGAATATGTAGTGTAGATGAAAGTTCCGCTATAGAGTAAGCACAATTACTGTGGGAATTTTTCCATGCCACTGAGAATTTTTCCTGAATATGGCTTGAATTTTGAATTTGTGTGAAAGACGTTCTCTATTCTTTAGACTTTACTGCATTAGAAGACAATCGTGAAGTTACTGCAAGTCAATTATAAACACACTCTGACTTGCTATGTAAAAGGTGTAAGTCTGGATAATTTGTATGCAAGTGATTCAGAAAAGAGTAATTAGCCCTGCAAACATTTGACTTCCGCCCTCCCGCCACAAACTGTCAACTTTTCTTTTGTGTGAGTGTGTGTGTATATATGCATATAAAGAAAAAGTATGTGTGTGTATACATATATATATATACACACACACACACACTCTACATAGTGTATATTCTGCATAAGACTGTTTATATCTTCTATTTTTTGTACATGGGATGCATTTTTCCGAATTACTGCAAGAATAGTCTGTTCTTGTGATAACACTGAGAGGTAGATAAAGGCAATCTATTAAGAAAATGCAGTGACTATGAAATAGATCCCTGAAACTGTAGAGAGGATGTTGTACTGTAGAAGAAAGTGCAAAGTTTAGTTTTGTTTGTTTTGTTTGGGTTTTGTCTACTTGAAAATATAAAGAAGAAAATAAGGCAAAAATAAGTAGTGTAGGTAGAATACAGGAGAGTGCCTTCTTTGGAAAGTTCTGCAGACTCTTAATGAAAACAAGTGTCTCAAAGTTGTGGTTTAGAGGTGTCTGCGAATCCTACAACTTCAGAATTTCCTAAATTGTAATCCCAGGGCTTGTTATCAATTTATCAATTTGAAAGTAAAAGTACATTCCAGTAAATCAATACTGCCACTCATTACAGTGGTCAGCTGCTTCCTAAATGTGTCTCCCTAATTATCAGCCTGTCCTAATTCTTGTCAAGTTTATCTCATGGACTTTCATAAGTCACACTGAAAAAAAACCAAAATACCTGAAACAGTTTTTAAAAAAGCCAACAACCCACAAATACACACACATACATAAAAATAATATGAAAAGTTTGTAGGTCTGGCTCTAGTTTTTGGGTGCTAACAGAATGCTAGTAATGCGTCAGAAAGGATACCAGTTGAATATAGGAATAATAGTAGTTTCTTCATTTTAGAAGGATCATTGCATTTTGTTCTATGTTACTAAATCTTTTTTTTTTTCCTTCTCCTTTCTTTAACTGTTTCTTTTAGGAAGCCCTGGAAGATCGTTTGGAAAGGATTAATAGAGATTTGGGGTCAATACGCATGACTCTGAAAAGATTTCATGTTTTACATACCTCTGCAAATCTTTGACAATTCTCTCTTAAATGCAAATATGCTTTTTTTTTTTTTGCACTAATATGTAATTATGCACTCAGTAAATGCAAATTGTTTTGTATTTTTATAAACCCTCAATAGTAGTTTTACAACCATGTTACCCTTTACAAGCAGCAATATTTTGTACTTCAAACAGCCACCTATATTTTAAACATATTTTTGTTACGCTTGAGAAATCAATGTTTATCCTGTATTGTAAAATTTTTAGAAATATTAATTATTTTTAAATAGTGATATTCAATTTATAATAAGAAAAAGAAACTAAAAGGCAGCTTGTTTTCAGAAAATGAGTGTTATCTTTTTGCACTTCATTTTCCTCACCATTTTATAAATATTTATGGTATGATGTAAATATTAGCCAGTAGGAAATTTTGAACTTTAATACAAAAAGCAACATGAATTACCTGTGTTAAAGATAAATACTGTTATATGGTAAATCCTTTTAATTTAAACCTTATAACATGGATATTTTTCATTGTGACAAAACTGTGAGCAATACTTTCATTATGGCTGGCTGGCTGCAAATCGGTATGTGTTTTGCTAGTTTGGTTGCCACTGGCTGTGTTAGGAAAATATTGTTCTAAATTATTGGATGTCTCCCAACAGTCGCAGTGATTAGTGTTTCGATACCGCGAGTACCAGGATTCATGAGACTGACAGCAGCCATCCTGTCTCCCAGTGAGCAACTCAACTCCGGCTGACGCTCCAGGACTGTAACTGCTTAACCGAAGTTACTGTTTTAATACGCCAGACTGGGGTTTGTGCCATGCCAGTGTTCTGATCGCATACATTTCCAAATCAAATCCAAGCTGTATTTGTGAACATACATGCATTTTTCTCGGTGAAAAATACATATTTGCTAGTTGGCATATTGCTGAATTACTGTCCAACATTGATATTTCAGTTTGTATTTTAATATTAAATAAATGTTTAATTAGATTCTTTCCTCCTGCCCAAGAACAATAATAGGTTCTGGGATATTACATCAGCGATAATGTAGTTTTTAATCATATTGTGTGTTTCAAATTCTGTCCTTGTTCAAGATGTTTAGCCACCAATGATGTGATTATAAGGCCAGAATAGCTGTCATAAAGGAAGCTTGTGAAGGTCTGATTCTAAAATTAGAGTGCTGTGTTTTAAGATACTTGATGAAGAACCGTCCTACCCATACACAGCCTTTTCAAAAAAATTGTATTTTGTGCAGCTACTTCTGCCCTGTGGGTTCTGCTAATACAAGATCAGAGTTGGGGAGAAGTCAAGGATGTTAGTTACTCATTTTCCCCTTTACTCTAAAATGTAGAAATTGGCTCTGAATGCTTGGAGAAAACTTGCTCAAATATACTTCCAGGCTACACAGATAGATGTACAATTTTGATGGTATTTCATATTCTTACTTGTAATTTTTACTCAAAAGGGGTTGAGGGAGGAAAAAAGAATCTTGTCTTCCCCATGCAGCTCTACTATTTAGCTGAAGAATTTTTCCCCACCATTGTACAGGTACAATTTAAAAATGTCTTTCAAAAGTAACATTCAGCCAGGAGGATTTTTCCAAGGAATCCATCATAGGAAAATTTCACAAGTCCATTAATGGTCTTGTTTTCTTTCATCAGCACTACAGCAAAAACAAGCAGACGTTTCCTGGCAGGCATTAGAAATAAGCAGGTAAATTGGTTCATCTATTTCGCTGCCTTTCCTTATAACCTCCCTTTATCTCCACTCCATTCTTTCCAGTGCTATTCATATTCATGTACTTTTTTTTTTTTTTAATTAATCTAGAATACTGAATTGTGAGTCAGAATTTATTTTTTAATCAAAAGTCCTCCTCCATCTGTTGGAGCTCTTTAGCCTTATTTCTGTTCTATTATAACACTAAAGTTGGGGGGGGAAATGTAAGTGTTGCTCTTAGTAAACTTCTAGGACAACGTTTTCAAATAAATGTCTGGCTTCGGGTGACCTGTTCAGTATGGTGCCTTTGGCCTGATTCTTCAGAGGGGCAGAGAATCTGCAGTTCCAGATTAAATCAGTGGGAGGCCTGAATGCTCAGCGCTTCTGAAAATCACACCCGAAGCATCAAAAAGTGGGGCACATGAAGTACATGTTTACTGTGGAAAACGTGACAGCACTTTGCTGGATGCTGTCTTTTTTTTTTTTTTTTTTTTTCCCTCAAATCCCTTTTAAAATTCTTCCCCTGAACACGAGCAAATTGCCTTGTTCCATATTTGGGGACAAATAAGGACTTCCAGAAGAGCAGACGGTTATGCTACCTCTGAGGAGGACTTCAATCATCTTCCTCTTGTATTCTTCCACCTGACACCTCTCAGCTATGTAGGCATTTATTGCCTTTCCAGATCTACTAGGTTTTGCTGGGAGCCCCAGGCTTTGCTCTGTCTCAGACTGCCCTTGCAAGACACTCCCATGCATAGTTTTCTCTATGATAATAAACATTACAAATCCTTCAACTCTGAGATTTAACCTTTGGAAAACAAAATTTCTATTTGTCCCATCTCTAAAAGGCAAATTAAAAAAAAAAAGTGTCTCTGTACCATTGATAGCTTTGGGTATAATCTGCCTTCTGCTGGGAACTTTGTCTCTGAAAAGAGCTATAATGCAGGCTAGAACTTACTGTGGCAATGCAGGTGGTGGTTGCAAAACAAACTCCTTTACTGGGCAGGCTAGCTCTGGCTTTGGGGGGTAGCACGCAGGAGTGCGGGTAACCTCCCCGTGAGAGCAGAAGTGCGAGCGGGTTTTGGTGAGGTGCAGGGGAGTCCTTGAGGATAAGGACGAAGAGCTTGAAGCACTAGCTGTGCAGCTCGCTTGAAGCTGGTGCGTTTGGAATTATCCAGGACTTAACGAGGGGCTGGTTGCTGGTAGTATTTTGCATTTGCAGAGTGGAACAGAAGCGGTGAAGTGATGCATCCTTAAAAAAAAAACGCAGCAAATTGACAAACATTTAAAACGGTACAGCAGATTTTGTTAGTTTTTTCTGAGGTTTCTGAATAAAATGATTGCTAAACCTTTAGTGATTTTTTTTCCAGTCTTTGCAGAGAGCAAAGTTACAGGAGTAACCAGCACTGCTCCAGTCTGCAAAAAGCCCGGTGCTAGGGGCAGGGTTAGAGCAGAGACCGGCCGGGGGAAGTTTGGCCCCGTAGCCGTTAGTTACCCTTCCTGCGGGCACCGGTGAAGGTACCGAGCAGGGGAGGGTACCCGGCGCGGGGCAGCGTCTGGAGGAGGGCGGTAACGGCACCCGCAGCCCG